CACATATATACTGAAATGCTCATTTTCCTCTAACAAACAAACAAAACCCAAATCTAAAACAACTGGGTAAATTTTAAATAATAACCTTGTTATTTGCTTTAGGTCTATCTAAACTTGAATAATTACCTAAGAACATCTTTAAGTCAGTCCTGTCTGCCTCCAATCAAAGACCCCTAGCTTCCAAACTGAGGTTCCCAACTCTGAAGATTTCTCTCTAAATGTCTTATTATTCACAGGCTTTCTAGGAAAGAGACAGAGGAGGGTGAGAAGTCAGATCTGAATGCCTAGTTACCAGAAAATCCTGTGTCCAGGGGATGCTCTCACTGCTCAGGAAAGGAATAGCCCTCAGCTGTGCTGGAGGTCCCTCACTGGAACTCCCTCTGCTTCCTCAGCAGAAACCAGGAAGATGGGTAGCTCTTTTGTCTTGACTTTTGTCCCACCTTCAGAGTGTGCTAGCCAATCACATAGGAGAGGGGGGTCCAGTTTCTTTCCAGAATCTCCTACATTTCTGAGAACATGAAAGTGAAACTCAACGTGCTTTTGTTTCTTTTCATTGCTTCCACAATTCAAGGAAAAGGAAATTGCAATCACAAAGTTGCATTTTAACCTAATGTTTAGCCCTTGAGAGGCGCTCCAAAATCAACTTACTAATGAGGTTAGAAGATTTTCCATGACCCATTAGAGTTTATTTTCTCTTGACCCCTGTGTGCTGGATAGTTTATGTCAACTTGACCCAAGTTGTAGTAGTCTTAGAAGAGGGAACTTCAAAAAAGAAAATTTTCTTCATAAGATTGAGCTTCAGGCAAACCTGTACAACATTGTGTAAATTAGTGATTGTTGGGGGAGGGCCCAGCTCCTTGTGGATGGTGCCAGCCTTGAGTTGGTGGTCTTGGGTTCTAACAAGGCACAGCTGGAACAAGCCATGGGGAGCAAGCCAGTAAGCAGCATCCAGGGTCTCTACATCAACAACTGCTTCCAGGTTCCCCTCCTTCTCCATCTCATGGTGTTTCATCACAGAAACAGAAACCTTAAAATAACATGGTAATAGGATTATGGGCTATGGTGAGAGATCTGGCATGTTGTTTTGAGAAAGACTGTGAAAGGACCTTGGAACTAGAAATTTATTAGGAGTTCAAAGCTTGATGACATTTTATTTTGTAGCTTGGAAGATAAGAATGTTGAGAGTAAAGCAAACAGTGGAGGCCTAACTTGAGAAGTTCCAGAGAGAAGTTTGCAAGTCACTTAAAGACTAAAAATGAGATCTGTGGTTATGGTTAGCTGGAACTGAAGAATTAGCTGTAATTAACAAGAGCAAAGCTAATGAAGTAAGTCTTTGTTTTACAGGGACAATAGATGCTGGTCAACTGTAGCTAAGAAATTAGTGGTGATTAAGAAGAGGCAACATCACTGAGGCAGAGTCACTCTGGGGAAGTGTGCCCCTGCTGGAGGTTTTGATTGGGATTGCACTGAATCTGTGAGTCTGTTTTGGTAAAATAGTCATTTTAAAAATACAAATTCTCAGAGTTTTGATTTGCATTTCTCTGATGACTAAGGATGTTGAACATTTCCTTAAGTGACTTTCAGCCATTTTAGATTCCTCTGTTGAGAGTTCTCTGTTTAGGTCTGTACTCCATTTTTTTTTATTGGATTATGTGATCTTTTGGTGTCCAATTTCTTGAGTTCTTTGTATATTTTGGAGATCAGACCTCTGTCTGATGTGGGGTTAGTGAAGATCTTTTCCCATTCTGTAGGCTGTCATTTTGTCTTGTTGACCGTGTCCTTTGCTTTACAGAAGCTCTTCTGTTTCAGGAGGTTCCATTTATTAATTGTTTCTCTCAGTGTTTGTGCTGCTGGGGTTCTACTTAGGAAGTGGTTCCCACTTTCTCTTCTATAAGGTTCAGTGTGGCTGGCTTTCTGTTAAGGTCTTTGATCCATTTGGACTTGAGTTTTGCATGGTGATAGATATGGGTCTATTTTCATTCTTCTACATGTTGATATCCAGTTATGCCAGCACCTCTTGTTAAATATGCTTTCTTTTTTTCCATTTGATATTTTTTGCTTCTTTATCAAAGATCAGGTGTTTGAAGATATGTGGATTGATATCCAGGTCTTCTATTCAGTTCCATTGGTCCTCCTGTCTGTTCTTATGCCAATACCAGTACTGTAGCTCTGTAGTAGAGTTTGAAGTCAGAAATTGTGATGCCTCCAGAAGTTCTTTTATTGTACAGAATTGTTTTGGCTATCCTGGGTTTATTGCTTTTCCATATGAAGTTGAGTACTGTTCTTTCGAGGTCTTTGTAGAACTTTGCTGGGATTTTGGTGGGCATTGCGTTGAATAAATAGATTGCTTTCTGTACGATTGCCCCCTTCCTCCATCTCAACCATCCCACTCTTCCAAGCTCTCCCTAACCCCCCTCTTCTCCCTTCTCTCTCCCTGTCACCCCTTTCCCCCACCCCACCTCCACTCCCATGCTCCCAACTTTTGCCTAGCGATCTTGTCTGCTTCCAATTTCCAGGAGGATCTATATATGTTTTCTTTGTATTCACCTTATTATTTAGCTTTTCTAAACATGGCTAGAATCCACTAATGAATGAATGTTTAGAATTGGCAGTGGCAAACAGCTAATGAAGTTATTGTGTGTCCTGAGATCAGATACCCTTTTATAATCAACTGATGACATTTAAATTCCTCAAAAATTCTAACAAAGAAACTAAGCAAGCATGTCATTCTGAAACTGCTAACCCTAAGTAAGGCAATTAGGTCTCCTTTGAGTACACTACAGTGATACAGAGGATGTCACTGGCTCTGTTTCCAGCCGTTAGTGATAAACATACAACATGGAATTCATCCTGCAAATAAGAAGCATTTCAAATAACTGACATCTGTAGCAAACAACAAAATGAGATTACTATAAAGAGTATATGCATCGTTATTTTCCATCAATTGGGTAAGGCTTAAATCAGACTCAGAAGATGGAAATCATTTTCTGTTCATATCTTAGATAGAAATGGCTGTTTAATTTTTAATATATTTTACAAAAAACTTTTTAGCACTTTTAGAATTCAAATTTGACTTTTGTGTTTGTGCTGTATACTCATATGTGTGTGTGTGTGTGTGTGTGTGTGTGTATGAATATGTGTGCCCTCAACAATACATGTACATGTGGAGGCTGTGGAGAAGCAGTCAATGTATGATGTCTTCATCACTTTCCACCTAAGTTTTTAAGTCGGGAGTCTTTCATTGATCCTAGTAACCATTGATGGATAGAGGACTGCACAGTGATCCTGCCTCACCACGCTTGGCTTTAGTGGGTGTGGCAGACCTAAATGAGGTCTTCACGCATGCAGAGCAAGTGCTTTACCACTGAGGCATCGCTCCAACCCTCAACCCTCAATATTTCACTTTGAGATGAATGGTCCTACAGAGGTAGCACATGCTTTTAATCCGATATATATATATATAATTTAATATATTATATTAAGTTTATATATATATATAATTTAATTTTTTTAAAAAAAATGACAAAGAGTAAGACTGGGGACGTAGTTCAGTTGGTAGAGTTCAGAAAGCCCTGGTTTTATGACATCATAACATAAATCCTCTGATGCCAGCACCGGGGAGCTAGAGATAAAACAAACAGAAATTCAAGCTCATCAATTGTTCTACTGCATTGCAAGGCCAGCCTAGCTGCATAAGAACGTTTGCAAAATACAAAACAGGGTGGTGAATGTACTGTGGTGAGGAAGGATGGGTGCATGGGTGAGAAAGGGAAAGACAGGAGAGATGGTGGGGAATCTAAGTGGAACAGGGAGGCTCACCCAAACTCCTCTCTATGGCTTCCCCATCTTCCTACATTCCTTGTGTGCACTGTTTGTGACTTGCAAGCAGCACAGAGAAGCAGTTTCAGTTTCCCATTCCCGGCAATGACTGGAAATGCGGTTTTCCTTGCTATTGTGGGTGAGAGTTCATTGAAGGACCTGCATTCCTTCCCCTGTCAGAATGGCTTTCATTTTCTCTAAGAACTGTGAGTAGACAGGGCTCCTAGGCCTGTTGGCAGGGGAGGGAAGTAGGTGGAATAAATAACAGTATAGGATTTTCATAATGTTATATGTATCCTACTAATGTAGAGACTTCTTAAATATTTGTATACACACATAAGAAAGAAGATGAAGTTGCTCTCCACTGGAGCAACAATAATTCCTGCTAGATACCACAGGGTAACAATTGAAAAGCCCAGACCCAGGAATTATTTAGCTTTTTCAGACTTGTTGGCCATGGATGACCCTAATACTTACGTGCCATGGTCAGTGTTCTTAGGTACTTTCCAGAACTTGATGTAAGGTCCTGTTAGTTAATGAAAACACCACGTTCCTGAGTTATAGATTGTAACTGATACGGACCTAGATGATCCTACTGGTTATCTTTCATAGTTCTTTAGCCATAGAGGCAGAGGAGAAAATGAAATATTAATCATATCCAGGTATGACCTCTGTGAGCTACAATACTGACTGTCCATATAAGCCATAACCACCAATGGAAGAGTTACAACAATGTCAGGGTAGTGAGCAACTCCTTCCTGATTGGATTTAATATTACTCTGCAGGATGGTACTCGTACTTGGAACCATATCTGGACAACAACCTAAGCTTATGCTGGTCATACACCCTGGTGAGAACCTACTACTCTTCTGCTAAAAGATATAACATTAAAATAGCTTCTAATGATTTTCCATGATACCCATAGATTAAGGTATTGCTTAAGCCTTATCATGAAAGCTCTTGTTTGCAGTAGATTATAATCAATAGAGATATCCACAGCTGGCCAACTTGCATAGAATAAAATATTGATAAATGTCAAGAACTAAATTGAATACACATATTTCTACTTTAAGTAGAATGTTGTGGAAGAAAGGTGAGAAGACTGGAAGAGTCAGAGTTGGCGGATGATTCCAAGGAAACAATCTTCTGGACACTGCTGGACAGTTACACATTTAACCTGGCAGTGATTGTATACAACACAGGTAAGACCTGTCAAGCTCAAGCTGGACCAAATCTCTGCATTAAATGGGGAGTTTATTATGATAAGAATTAAGGAAAATGAATCTACAATAATGAAGAAATAATATTAATCAGAAGAGGTCAAATGTGTTTTTGTCTTGGGTGAAACTAAAATTGGCATCTGCACAGGACCTCAGACAATGTGTTGTGTGACTTTAGTTCAGGCTGCATTTGTGGAATCATGAGCCCGGAAATTTATTTTAAGTGTCCAGCATAGTCAGTAAGCTGCTTTCCCTTATTCCCTGGCTTTTTCCAAGCCCCATTCCCACATTGCTATTTTTGGAATGTCCATCTTTTTCTGCCAGGAAAGGAAGTGCAGGTACAATGAAAAACAACTGTTTGTTTTATTTCACTTTCATATTCTTGGAAATGCAGGTGATTCTGAAAACCAAGTAGATCCATGTTTCTCATTGATTGGCCAACACACACTGAGAGGCAAGGGGCAGAAAACAGAAGAGTGTGTAAATACTGCTGAACTGATAACCCTACTCCTTTCCACAGATGAGGCGGGGGTGGTTTTAAGTGAAGAGCCTAGAGCACGGTGGACAGTGGCTCCTATAAGCTGAACTACAGTGAGAGCATACACTGGACTCAGGGTTTTCTGAAAAGTGGACAGGGGCATTCAGATCTAACTTCTAACCCTCACCACCTCTCTTCTCTAAAGAGATGTCAGGTAACAAGATATTTAGGAACATGCCTTTATAATGGGGATACTCAGCTTAGAAGCTGGGGTGCTTTGGTGGGAGGTGGACAGGACTGCATCTTTGCCAGTCCTTCAAGCTGAGGTAAACCTAAAGGAAATGATCTGGATGTAGTTTTTGGTAAAGGTATCCAATTGTTTTGACTTGCCTTATTCATCTTCGTAGCAGGGCTGTAGTTGGATGTTTCAGGTGATGGAATATCTCTGCAGTGTGCATGAGCGTGTTCTCTATCACTCTCCTCTTGCTTCCTAGTCCATGGTCAACTATTTAATTCCTTACACCCTGAGGCCTTTGGTGTGCGGGGAAGTCTCTCTGGATGCTGCTTCTGCTGTTGCTGGCTGTGGAAAACTGGGCCTGAAGAATATTCGTCACTGGATTTCTTTATTGTAAAGCAGGGGTGTTAAGGAGCTTCTCTCCATCTATGAGGAATATGAGCTGTGTCAGGATGTGGTGACAGCTGTCATTTAGGCAGGCTTCCTTTTCTCATGCCTGCTGTGTCACAGCCTTCTCATTCCCTGTGTTCATATTCAGTGGAAAGACCTTGCAGACAACTGTCACACTGGAGTCTGCGTCACAGATCTGGGAGCTAGAGCTGACAGAATGAGAGGGGAAAACTGAAAAGGTGAGAACAGTATTTGTGCCACAGGGACGTTCTGTCTGTGCCCTATGGGTGTCTGTCCCCTTCAACAGTAAATCAACCTATGGTGTTTATTTAACTAAGTTTAGCTTCTCTGTTTGGACATTCTCTTTACTCATCCCTACTGACCTTTGTCTTCATTCAGTTTAAACAAAGCTCTGCAGCTCTGGCTTCCTGCACAGCTGTCCCTATTTCTCTAGTAGATTTCACAGGTGCTGCTTGTGCCGCGAGTCTGTCTATGCTTATGCTCATACACAGTATGATTCTAGGATATTTCTGTTCTGTATTTGTCTTGCCTAACTCTTAGCACGAATGCTCTATTAATCTAGTAGGACTTTGATTTCATAGACACAGAGTAGACACAATAAAGTCCAGGTGCGTTCCTTATGTTCCCCGTTTACTCCTTGATGACAAATCACCATATATGGTGTGCTGTTGGTGAAGAAGTGAGCAAGGTGAAAACACATTCTGCTACCTGAGGTTCATTACGCTGGGGGAGGCTGACAGAAAATGAACCCAGACAGATACATATCATGTGACAGCAAGTGTTGTGGAAAGACAGAAACATAGTGAGAGGGTGGTGGATGGGAGAAGCAGGTGCAATTTTACAACCCAATGGGGATATCAAAGCTAAAGCCTGCCTACTTGAAGAAGAACCTAGAGAAAGGTGATGAAATTCATAGCCACGTGGCTACTGGGGAGAGCTATAAGTACACTAATTCACTAAGTATCAAGTCCTGAGATGAGAAGACAGCCTAAGATACCAGGGTGGCTGGACGACATCAGCGGCTCCAGAAGTCCAATGATTATATTTAAGGATATGTTGTATTTACTGTGTGCACTGTACACGTAATGAACTTTCCATGAGGGAAATGGGGATTCCTCGCTTGCCTCTCAGAATTGATGCAGCATGATATGACTTCCGTGCCAATAAGACATCTCTGGCTGTTTGATTATCTATATTGTTGCAAGAACAATAACAGGAAATATAGTGATGTCAATGACATGATCAAACGTGGAATTGAGGAGGTCATGAAGAAGATAATGTAGGAATAATGATCAGTTGTGACTGGATTTGGAAATAGAGATTAAGTCTGAGAACTGATCTGATATGGGTGAGACAGAAAGAGGAGGCTCCACGGTGACAGTGGCATTTGCTGCCTCCTTAATCGATGGTGAAGTTCATTGTGCTGCCATGGGAGGTCTTGCAGGCAGGTTTGTGGAGAACAAAGAGCAGAAATATGAGATCTGAGCTAATTAAATACCCCCAAATCAAAGTCAGGTCCTTAAGCCTGCCAGCAATTGTATTTACCTGCTGAGCCTCCTTGCTGAACTTGATATTCTTTTCGTTGTTTTTCTTGAAGCGGGGTCTCAAGTAGCCCAGACCATTCTGTAACTCACTCTGTGCCAAGGATGACCTGGAAGTATTGATCCTCTTACCTCTACTTCAAGAGTAAAAGAATTTCAGGGTTCCACATGCATCTGCATTTGATGAGGTGCTGGAGATTGAACCCAAGGCCTTATTCATGTTAGGAAAGTTCTGTACCAATTGACCTACATCTCCAGTGCACAGTTAGATTTCTTTCATAAAATAAAAGATTTAAAATGAAAAAGCCTGGGATAAAACCGGACTTGCTGAACATAGCGGACAATGAGGACTACTGAGAACTCAAGAACAATGGCAATGGGTTTCTGATCCTACTGCACGTACTGGCTTTGTAGGAGCCTAGGCAGTTTGGATGCTCATCTTACTAGAACTGGATGGAGGTGGGTGGTCCTTGGACTTTCCACAGGGCAGGGAACCCTGATTGCTCTTCGGGCTGAGGAGGGAGGGGTACTTGATTGGGGGAGGGGGAGGGAAATGGGAGGCGGTGGCGGGGAAGAGACAGAAATCTTTAATAAATAAATAAATTAAAAAAAAAGAAAACAGTGACTTTAAGAGATGACCTGGGTAACTGAGATTTTGTACTGAATAAATGGATTTTAACACGGACTTTAAGCGTAAAAAGTGTTATATTATTGTAAGCGTATACCAGGTTCTGAAAAAGACAGGAGAAAAGTAAATATAAACAAATTAAGAATTATTTCAACCAAATACAATAGCTGGACTTCCTGACATCTTTTGAAAACAAAAATAAAACAGATATGGTGGTGGTGGCACACACCTTTAATATCAGCACTTAGGAGGCAGATGCAGGACAGGCTCTGTGAGATCAACGCCAGTCTAGTCTACAAATAGAGTTCCAGTATGGCTAGGATTGTTACACAGAGCAACTCTGTCTTGAAAAACAAAACCAAACAAGCAAACAAGTAAAAAAAATAAAGGTAAATAAATAGATAAAAATAACACACTAAATAGATTTGTTGATCATTAGAGATTTGGAATTGATTAAACATTGATGTCAGTTATCATTCATTATTACTTATTTTTCAGCTTGAGAAACTAGATGCACGTTATGTTCCAAGCATTTGAAAGCACACAGTGAAGGAAGTGTGTACAGAGGGAAAAGATATTTTGGATTTGATACAGAGTACTCTTGTCAGGTTCATGTTTTTATAGTTGATGATGCTGACCCAAAGAATCATGTGGATTTCAATATTATTTTCCTTAAGTTTTAATTTTTCTGTAATTAAAGTTTTAAGTGAGAGCTGCTGAAAATGTGTTCTATTTTCCTTTCTATTGTTTTTATAAACACCATGACCAAAAGCTTAGACATTCTTCTCACAGTCCATCAGTAGGAAAACTCAGGGCAGAAACTCTACAATAATAGAGGTGGAAACTATGGGAGAATGCTGCTTGCTAGCTTGTCCCGCATAGTTCGAGTATGCTTTCTTAAATTACACACTGCCACCCCAACACAGTGAGCTAGGACCTCCCACATAAATTATCAATATAGAAAATGCCCCGAAGGTATCCCCCAGGTTAATCTGATGGGGTCAACTCCTTAACTGAGGTTTTCACCTCTAGAAGGACTATATCTTGTATCTTGCTGACAAAAAATAGCCAGCACTAATTATATGCGAACTATTCAACTAGTTCTTGGAATTCTCCTGTGTTTGTTGTAAAAAAGAAATCTGGTAAATGGAGAATGGTGACAGATCTAAGGGCTGTCAACAAGGTAATTCAACCCATGGGCCCTCTACAGTCTGGAATTCCTCTGCCTTCTCTGTTACCAAAAGTATGTCCTCTTATAGTTATTGATTTAAAGGATTGCTTCTTCACTATACCATTTTTTTCATTTATTCTTTTGTTCTTTCTTTTTTTAATTAATTAATTTATTTTTTTGTAGGTACATTTAATGTGACTTTATTTTATTTTTTTTAATTTATTTATTTATTAAGGATTTCTGCCTCGTCCCCACAACCGCTTCCCATTTCCCTCCCCCTCCCCCGATCAAGTCCCCCCCCCTCGTCTGCTCGAAGAGCAATCAGGGTTCCCTGACCTGTGGGAAGCCCAAGGACTGCCCACCTCTATCCAGGTCTCGTAAGGTGAGCATTCAAACTGCCTAGGCTCCCACAAAGCCAGTACGTGCAGTAGGATCAAAAACCCACTGCAATTGTTCTTGAATTCTCAGTATTCCTCATTGTCCGCTATGTTCAGCTAGTCCGGATTTATCCCCTGTTT